TTGTGTAGGTCTACAATCTTGTCCCTGACATCCTTGGAGAGCTCTTTTGTCTTGGCCATGGTGGAGAGTTTGGAATCTGATTGATTGATTGCTTCTGTGAACAGGTGTCTTTTATACAGGTAACAAGCTGAGATTATGAGCACTCCCTTTAAGAGTGTGCTCCTAATCTCAGCTCGTTACCTGTATAAAAGACATGTGGGAGCCAGAAATCTTTCTGATTGAGAGGGGGTCAAATTCTTATTTCCCTCATTAAAATGCAAATAAATTTATAACATTTTTGACATGCGTTTTTCTGGAATTTGTTGTTGTTATTCTGTCTCTCACTGTTCAAATAAACCTACCATTAAAAGTATAGACTGATCATTTCTTTGTCAGTGGGCAGACGAACAAAATCAGCAGGGGATCAAATACTTTTTTCCCTCACTGTACCTCTCACGCTGTGTCCATATCATGTCGGCCATCAGTGTGTGAATGACCTCTATCAATAGAGAAAACTCTTTCAAATGCAGAATTGAGTTGTTCAGATACTGGATCTCTCACCTTTATGCATTATGCAAACCCACAAGTTCCTGAAGGACTGCATTTTACTTGTCTTAAGTTACCATCAAGCCAGAAATACTTATTCTTTCGTATGTATTTTTGGGGATTGCAAAAGATTACAAATTGATGTTGAGATTTGATCTCGATTCGACTGCTTCTGGAGTAGCCACGTTGAATTGTTTCAGATCGCCGTTGAATGATCTAATTGGGAAGTCGATCTTCCTCGGAAGGGCCAGATCCATGTTGGAGGATTGTGGGGTCACTGATGATGCATTTCTGCAGCAGGTTGTTGTTTGCCCAGGCTTCCTTCCATCGTGCTTCAATGGTCTTGTCATAATGGAGGTTCTTTGCATATTGCCAAAAAGATTTTCTGGATTTGACCCTGTGCAGTGGTGGTATGGAGATGTACTTGTTTATTGGGAGGTTTGTATTTATGATGGTCTTGCGGTACTCCCTCACACACGTGGCACCGAGGCGGAGCTGCGGAGAAGCAATGTTTGCAAGGACTGGAAGCCACGGCAGTGGTGTGCTCTTTTGCGTCCTTGAGATGATCATCATGGCTGCATTTAGCTGTGTATCCACCAGCTTCGTGTGCACGATTTTTTACCGGTTGGGGCGTAATACTCTGCTGAAAAGAACATTAGTGCTATGGTGGTCATCCAGAGCGTCGTTGCGTTTGCTCCCCATGTTGTTCCGGCCAGTTTATGCATGAGATTAACTCGTGATTTTGTTTTTACAACAATATTCTGCAGGTGTTCAGAGAAGCTGCGGCCCCTGTCGAAAGTTACACCGAGGTATGTCGGGTACTTCTTGTGCAGGACCTCTTCGCCACAGAAAATAACGGCCAGTATCTGGTCGGCGTTTGCATTGTTCAGGTGGAATGATATTACGGCAGTTTTCCTTGGGTTTGGGTAGAGCCTACAGTACTTGAAGTATTATACTTCGCACAAGTCGTTTTGGACTTCAGTTTGGGTCCTTCTTTGGACGGCAAGTGCCAGGTCACCGGCATAGCCAAATTTACGGCTGATGGTGACAGGGAAGTCACATATATATGTTAAAAAGTGATGGAGCAAGAGCTGATCCTTGTGGGAGCCCATTATTGAGTTAAGTGGGCTCTGTTGACAGTGTACCCTAGGTGGACACAGTATCACCAGTTGAACAGTAACGATGATAGGAGTCGGAGGGTCTGCTGGCATCTGATGACCTTCGACACCTTTAGCATGAGACCCTCCCGCCATACTCTGTCATAGGTCGATGGAAGCAGCTCATCTGATGTCCTTGCGCTGGTAGCCAGCTTTATTGTGTGTGGTGAGAGCCAGCATTTGGTCGCATGTGCTGCAGCCAGGGCGGAAACCAGGCTGTTCAGTTGGTATAGCCTCCGCTAACATCGGTGACATATGGGTCCATAGCATCTTCTTTAGGACTTTGTACACCGTACGAAGTAGGGATGTGGGGCAGAAGTTATTTGGTTAGTGGTTAATTTTCTAGGCTTCGGAATGTGTTGCACACTCGAAATGAAGGACATGGGCAGATGCTCCAAATCGAGGGCAAACACATTTATTGTGGTAAATTTGTAAAATGCAACAGCACGTGTGTCACACACAGCAATCCTCAACCGAGTCGCCATTAACCACGTGACTGGTGTACACACGTGCATTGATGTACTGTACAGCACATAAGGACTTTCACAAAACCACACTTTACTCCATTACTGCACGAGGAAATAATTAAAAGAGTGGTCCATTCCTAATGTGCCACAAATGGAAATTACTTTCGTTTGTCGCCATTTTTTTGGAATTTTGCCTGAGGCCATTATGTCCGAAAACAATCTGGCCAGCCAGCAGCATCTTTTTTGGGCAAAGTGTTTCAGGAACTCTGGATAAATCAGGTTTAATTCTGTGGCCTTTCCTGATCTGGTGGATTTTATGGCATCAATGACCTCTTCTTCTGTGAAGGGGGGTGACAAGGCTATTGTCAGTGCACAACTCTGCTATTGATTGGTAGATTTGTTCCTTCGCTCAATGTCTTGTGTGCCAGTCTGTAGGGCTCTTTCTATTCAGCTGCATTTGTGCGGTGATGGCATTCATCGGCATGTTGGTGGTTTTGTTTGTTGGTTGTGGTGCCGCTCCTTGGTGTCTCATGAGGCACCATACTTTACGGCTTGAGTGTTTAAAATCTAATAACTCTATCGCTTCTGTCCACCTTTGTCTTATGGATTCATTTAGCGAGTCGAGGAGAACTTTTCCATATTCTGGGTTTCCTGACTTCGTGTATTCCTGGAGCAGGGACTCGCTTTGTTCACTCCAGCATGGAGTATATTCTACCTTGTAACCCCGTGGGATGTGTGAGTGAGCCGCTTTGAGCACAAGCTTGGTGAAATATTCGAAGTTTTCTGGCTTTAGTAGAATCCGGGAGATGGTGTGCTCAATGTCTTCAGTAAAAAGGTTCCTAGTTGGCCTTTCTTAAGTTGTATCGTAGCACAGGGGTGGGTGTGATCATTGGGATTTCGACCCAAAATGCACCAAGACCCGCCTGTGCTGACTGTTCGGGAAATTCTCCAGAGCCATTTTGGAAGTACACAGTGGTTCATCCGAATTGGCACACAACACAGAGCACTTGTCAGGGTTTGAATCGTTCCTCCAGCGTGCGGAATGGAAAGTGCCTCGATCTTTAGCGTCGAACAGGAGGAACAGGTTACCAGTTGTTGCCCAGTCCGATGACCTATTCTCCATATAATTCTTTGGTTCTTTCGGTAAAGTCACGTAGATATAAAAAATAAAAAATAAAATAAAGTGAATAAATGGGACACTTTTTTCATATACACGTGACTTTACAGAAAGAACCAAAGAATATTAATTCCTGCAGTTACGAAAGTTTTAAGTCAAAATTTATTCTCCACAGGTTTCATCGGTTGCATAGCCCCAGGAATCAAGCAATAAAAAAAAATTCATCTTAGAGTATAACCGGCTGCTATAAATTTCCACACGATAAACCACTTCATTGGGCTATCACTTATGGCCAGGTCGCTTCTGAAAAACAGCTATACAGCTCAGTGGGCCTTACCTGGAAACAAGTAAACCCGTAAAAACAAAGTTTTTCACTCTAAATCCTTTATATGCGTGGCGGCTAGAGTTCTCTCGTCCTCTGGCTTGAGATGGCTGCAATCTATGGGTCAGATGATTGTCTGCCAGTATTAAGCAATTGGTAATTAAATATTTAATTAGTTTTCCCTAAACAGTGTAAAATTTTGGAAAAAAAAATTCACGAAAATTAATTGTCACACACAACGAGTCTGTGTGGAAAATGTCAGCTCGATTGGATCACGGGAAGTGGGTTAAAAAACGAGCGAAAGATTTGCACGGTCATAAGCAAGCAAGCGAACTTAATATAAAGGATTTAAAAATATATTCGCCTGTGGAGGACGCGGGGATCGATCCCGCGACCTTTGGCATGGGAAGCGAGGGCGCTACTAACTGCGCTACTCCACCACGGCCTGTGGAGGGGTTACGCTCTGGGCTCTTGCACTGTGATGTTCAGCCAAAGCCATGAATGCGTTCTATTTGAATATATGTAAAATACATTTTTTTTGCCTAAAAAGTGTAAAATTTTGGGAATTTTTTTTCACGAACAATAATTGTCTGGCACAACGAGTCTGTGTGGAAAATGTCAGCTCGATTGGATCACGGGAAGTGGGTTAAAAAACGACCGAAAGATTTGCACGGTCCTAAGCAAGCAAGCAAGCACGCGAACTTAATATAAAGGATTTAAAAATAGGTTATAGTTTAGTTTATAAGATGACTATGCCGTTCTTCAGCAGAGAGATTTTTGAACACACACTACACGTGTTTTTGTTGTTGACACCTTTCGTGTTTGGGCCTGCACTTGTTTCTGTTGGGATTGGTTTTCTCATAATTTCTAGATTGGAATCAGTGTGCATTAGTTTCTAGGAGGATCAGGGAAGCATGTTTTGAGGTGGAGTTTCCATTCCAGTGTGGACATGGTACAATGTTTTATGAACAGCAACGATGATCGTGTTCACTCACTACCCAGGTGTGGATTGCCATGAATCTCGCAGGTAGAATGGTGGCTGATGAATTGTGGGGAAACTCTGCAATTCAGGAACCCCAAAATAGCTTCTACCATTTTGGTGAATTCTGTTGTGTATATGATGGCAGTGTATGGGGTGCATTCTGCTCATAGAGGGAGGTGTGGACATGCCAGTGCATGGGTTGAATGTCTACAAGCCTGGCTATCAAGTTAAACAGGGCGGAATTCTGGCCAGAATTCTTTGTAATATGAGCTTCCATGATTAAACAATGCCCATATATAAACACAACTAATCACAACATGAGCGTACAAGGTTGCCAAATTCGCTCTCAAACAAGACCGATTTTCTTCAAAAAGGAATATCCCATCGAGTTCTGTAGCTCAAGTTTCTAACATAAATGTTTGAACTTGCACTATTCGGTCATGGCTGCCACCCTTGAGACAGGGTCCCTGCATTTTAAAATCTTTTTTATAGAATTACGAAATGAAGAAGAGGCCACATAGATGATAAGTGGATCAAAGAGGCTGTTTGACGCGCTCAGGCAAAGTGCTACATCTCGAAATATTATCAGACTATTCGGAGAAAATGCATTGATTTTAGTTTGTATGAAGCCTGTTATATGTGTTGAGTTGTAAGGAATGAAGCACACAATATATGTGATTAAGCTCACACTTGTTATTTTAACAGCATGAATCTTCTTTTTCCTGCTTAACAGTTCTGTCTGCCCTCTTTGCATGACCAGTACTCTCACGACATTTCCATAGCAAAACAACGCTATGACCAGGGATGTGAGGTAGATAGCAAAGAACACATAAAGCCTGTAAGCTATCACGAATGCGAAATCTTCTGCAGTTAATTTTTCATAGCACTGAACAATCAATAAACTGACATTGTTCGTAGTGACATTGTCGTAGCTAAGAAAATTATTTACGTGGGTCACAGGCAGAATATTAATCATACTGATGACCCAGCACAGCAGGCAGAGGAGCCACGCTACCTTAGGTTGACGCAGGCGCGAGATCCGCAGTGGATGCACAATTGCCACATACCTGTCCACGCTTATCACCGCCAACAGTATGAGGTTGGCATAGATATTTATGAAGAATAACATGATATGAAAAACGCATGTATGTCGTGACAAAATCCATACTTTTTGTCTAAAGTGATAGTCAATTTTTATCGGTAGAAAGAGCAGGAAGAGCAAGTCCCCCGCGGCCAGATTGAGCATGTAGATGGACATGGATGACTTCTTCTCACGGCTGAGCACCCACAGAGCGAGTGCATTCAGTGGGACGCCGAGAACCACCGTGATGGCGTAAAAGGACGGAATGATCCAAAACTGAAGGAGCTCGATCACGTCCATTCTTCCAGAAAGATCACACGGTGCTGTAAACAAGAAGAAAATGTCGTGTTTGTGCATTACAAAGTACCACAGAAAAGAAATAGCATCGGAGTCATTCCATACCAAATTACACAGCAACGATGGTGATGATGAAGATGATGGTCGTGAAGGATTGTGACGTTGAAAATGGAAGATAATGCTGTATGATCTCTTGTCGTGTTTTTGTCATGCCAATATTTGTTTAGCTGCACTTTTACGCATGCGGTGTCTATTCACAACATATACTAATCGGATTTGTTGATTTGCGTTTTGTTTCTTGTTGCTTGCAACATTTGTATGTTGTAAGTTACTGCTTTATCTTTTACAGTTCCAGCATCATCTGACGACTGCTGTTATATCCTCCTGGAAGTAGTGCAAGTCACTCCTGCTGTCTTATACTGGACTGCAGGTATTCTACTGCCACTTCAACCTACTCTAGGGTTACCTCTTTCTCGAGCTCTTCAGAATTTGCTGATTTTTTTTTCTATACAGAATCCCCTTTGGCCAATATCAGATTACTCATGATCCCATCGTCCATGATGATGACAAGGAGGTGCATGCAATAGCATGATAGAGATAATGTGTATCTTAAAATAGCCTTTTAATCTGTGACGCTGTGCTTTTTCCAGTGATGTGCTCCATGTTGTCACTCACAGAGCTCGAAGTTGTTTCTGCCTGCAATGCGGTGGTCTGGGATGAGTTGTATTCACCCCTCCAGTCTCTCCTGTACAAATAGGAAAGAAACAAGATAAGTGAGCTCATTCGCCAGGGCAACATCGTTTGACCTTAAGTGACAGCATCCATATTTGTGTTTCATAATTTCCAGAGGAAACCCTCTGTCACGTCACAGGTGTTGAACCCCGTCACCTGGACATACCCCAGTAATAGCGATAGGGGCCTCCTTACATCTGCCCCATCGCATATGGGATGATTCACACGACCACAGGGCCCCGCTGAGTCGACACTTCACACCAAGCAATGAGTGCTCAACCAAATTGCTCTAGAAATCATGCAACTTCATCATGAAGCCTTGTTAATTTCATATTACCCAAGGAGATTCGTGTTTATCGACGATGTTGTGCATACTTAAGGTAAATTGCACTGTACTAATAAAAACTAAATTACAGACTCTTTTCAGCATTCATTCAACATCATGAGTAAAAAATGTGAAAGCTTTTTCACCCAACGTGTATGCTCATGTGGGTGTGTGTGATGATTGCAGATTTGGAAGTCATGCAATTAATTACCACTCCTTGTTGGACTTGATGGCAGTATGCACATCCACCACATTACATGACCTCCAGGGAGCACACACATTGCATAGCGCATTGTTGCAGACACGATTTTCTGTAATTTTTTTTGTTCTTCCTAAAATTTTCGTTGGTTCTCGTCGGCTTAAGAAAATATGTGAAACGTTGCTACAGTTGATCAAGACCTATTCAATCTTAAATATATTCGGGTGCCGTGGTGGCGAGATGTTAACTACCTCACCTGGTATACAGGAGGTCGTGGGTTTAATCCTGTCCCTGACGCCTGTATATTTGGAGTTTGCATGTTCTCCCTGTGGTTGCGTGGATTTTTGTCCAGGTCCTGTTTTTCCCTCCACATTTAGAAACATGCATTTATAGGAGCGGTTTAATCCACCACATGTGGCTCTATCGAAGGGGCGTAACATAGAACATACCATCGCAATACCAAAAAATAATAAATGTCTACCGTGCTGTGCCGAATTTGCAACAACATGTATGGGGTGTGACTTACAATTACCATTTTTGTCCAATTATTATATTGTTTCCCTAATTTGACGGATTATACAATCTACAACACGTAAAATATAGCATTTTAATCCAGTGCTAAATCGACTCAAATGGCACAGAAAGCTCTTATATTGCTCTTGAAAACAAAGGTTACTGTGTGTCATCTATATTTAAGCTATTTACATTGCGAAAGAAATTGTACAAAACCTTCAGCAATCCCAATCACAATGCACTGCTGTGGTTTTCTATGATAGCCATGTGACCTGGGAAGCTGCTGTTGCGTTCCCATAAAAAATGACATTTCACCTTTCACCACCATCACTCCAGTCAGCTTTTGGTCTTCCATGAGCTCGTGATGTAAGAGACCCCAAGAGTTTTTCATACCGGATTTGTGCTACTTGCATCTTACATGGACAATTTCACTCAGCTGTGTCATTGCAACAGACCTACACGACCCAAATTAATTGAAAGAAAGTGTAAACAGTTATATCTAGATGATCGCCACAAGTTGGATTAGAATTTACTTGATAAAATGCTTTATGTTTCTACAACAAATTATGCCAATACGGTATATAGCTTCAAATCAAGATTGACGGTATATACCATACACTTCAGAGGCTACTAATTTAAAACAGTCATGTTATGTTGTCATTGGGGAAAGGCAACAATGAGTACTATTAATAATGTTTAACTATTGAACAACATATTCAATAAGGTTCATAATGGAGATGCCATTGCAAAATACCAGTCTGAAGGTTATCCGGAAGTGCAGCAGAGGTAACTTGTATGATCCATTCAGCAGCCTTTAAACGATGGTACGTACAAACAAGAGTATTATAGAATATGGGATCTACTCACCAGGTTTTAAAGAGGTTTCCTTCACTAAAGCCGTTTTCTATGTGTACCAGCTATTTATGTCAAGATTTCTGCTATTTGCATCAATTTATAACCAAATTTGGTGGGACTGGAACATGTAATGTAAACAAATACTAAAGCTGTACAAAGGTTAAAATAACTCATGATTGTGGGAGTTGTTTCATCCACTTGTGCAGGTGATGTCGATCAGTAGTCCAGTCATCAGCAATTTAAGGAAGAGGCATTCAGGGACACATTACTAAAGGCAGAGGTTTAAACAACACTTTGGCATCGGGTAAAGAAGTGATACGGCCTGTTTGCCAGGCCCCACAGCAGGTGCAGGCATTATACAATGAACAGATATCTCTTCCTCCAAATTCTTTGCTTCTGATACATGAAACGAAATAGAATTGGGCTAAAATAATTATTTTATTCCACTTTTTATATATATTTTTTGTTTTGTTTAATACAGGTACATTATTTGAATCCATAATTATGGAATGCTCTGATGTTGTTTTTGCCGGATGAGTCGCCATTGAAAAAGAGCATCTTAGCTCAATGGGCTTTACTTGGGAAATAAACTTCTAATTTTCTAAAACTTCTGAACTCCAGTTGGATAAGCCTTATAACTCGTTCTTCATTTATTTTCAATGCATACAACCTCCAACACATATCGACTTCAGCACAAGACTAAAATAACACCAAATGAATATTAAATACTCCCAAAAAAAACTGTCGGCAGTGGGAAAGCACGCGTGCCAACAAAGATAGTCAATTGATATTGATGTTGAAGTTCTACTGGCCAAGACTAATGAGAGAATTCATCGAAATTGAAAGAAATACAAATACTTTTAACCGTTCGAATAGCTACCGACTTAGTGCTGCATGGAAGTGAATAATCAAATAATACATTGTTTAAATGAATGCCTCTACAGGCCACCATACTTCAATATGGATTACCGTTGGTACGGCTATTTTAATACACACAATGGACAGGAAGGACAAGATCAATGGGCCCGCATAATGCACAACATAACATACGTTGACTCAAGAGCACAGAAGTTTGGTCACCACATCTACGCCTCTATATAAGGAACGACACAGGTGGACCTCTCCACAAATCTGGCTGTCACCTGATGAAGCGAGTTGTAATTACTGGCAAAACGTCGTACTAAGATTGTAAATGTTGTGACTTGGCTCTCCAACACACCGGCGTGCTGTACTAGTGACGAATTGGCATGTTCTGTTTACGTGACAAACCTTACTAATTTTCTGTCGGGTGGTGGCGGGTTTAACGACACATTAATATTTACATGATCCGATCCAAAAAATCTTATATTATGAATATTGGTCGTGAAAGCCTACGTGTTAACCTGATGAGTAGGTTCTCCGCAATCTGTTCTGTCCTCCAGAGCGGTGGGTGACTCCACAAGAGTTGAGCACCAGATATTTTGATGTAATGGCTAAACTTTATTTAAAAGTGTTTTTCTGAAGGGCAGTTGCGTATCTGCAATAATGGTCAGAAACACCCTCCACGTCACAACATCACAGCTCAATCTCAGCACGAAGTCCGCCCAAATCTCAATTATGATATCTAAGAACATATAACATAGATATTATTAAACAAACGATTAACAAGAATTATTTTAATATCTCACATCAAAGATGTGCCCAAAACATTTGTAGTGCCTCCTAAATTTCCTGCAGACCCTGATACTATGTAAAAGAAATACGTACTTATATAATAAATAATAAAGCTATATTTAATATCAAATAATATTAAGATGTAAATTAGGAAAGTCATATTTTACTGACAATAAACATGTAAAACTATTTTTTCTTATATAATGCAACCTATGCAAAAACACATTCTACTCACCCCATGAGCTCAATCTTCAAATTAAGCTCTAAGTCAGCCATTCTGTGCCTTCCCAATGAACAGCACAACCAACACAATTAACACCAAATGTTATCAACGATTACAAAACTTAGATTTGCATCACCAAAACACTAACTCCGTTAAATCCTTGCATTCGAGTTGGATTGATCAAAATAATCAATTTACACTTGTAATAACAATTCATCACAAGGCCAAAGGCATATTATGATTATATTTCCCATCCAAAAAAAGGCAAATACAACTAAAAAATAAGTGGGTGGCTTCCTTTCGATGTTTAATTTTCTTTATACAAGTGTTGTGTGGTGCACGACGACTCGGAGGCAGATTTCCAGGTAAGGGCTTACGCCGTTTATTTAACACAAAGGAGTAACACTACACACCAAAGGTAGGTGTCCCTACACTCGGTCCTTCACTCAGACCTCCGGCTCTGTCTGTCCCTAGCCTCGGCTATGACTCTCACTCGAGTCAGG